TGATATCAGTCTGTGATTAATGCCAACTTAAAATCAATAAATCCGACAAAAATCCCCCAAATAGTAGTAGAATTTATTTGAAATAAGTCTAAAATTAATCAGATCAAGACGCAGGACTATTTCACAAGGTATTTAGCTGTTGATCCAAGCCCTATGGGAAGGTGTCAAGCACCTGACTGAGATTATTTAGATGACAAGAATGAATGGCTAGAAGATCTCGCTAATGCAACTCAAAGACAATAACAACTGCTCACACATATACACTAATTGTCCCCTTCATCAGTCTTCATTTATTTGTTCTCTTTTCTCTCTTTCATTGTTTTTCATCTAACTGTCATTCTTCCTCCGCCCCCACGTCTTTTTTGCATGTTACAATGATCTGAGGTAACTTGGAGTGATGCAGTGCTCTGCTGGATACTTCGTTGATTTTAATTAGAATTAAACAGGCTGCTATTTGACTGGTTGCAGAGTATTCTCCATCATATGTGAGTCATTTGAGTACGTGGTCACATGTTCACAGCATAGTACTACATGAGAATAAAGAAGCAGAAAGACAACAGGACTGTAGGACTTGAAGTGAACAGCAAAAAGGAAGCGTACTAAGCAGATATTTACCCTCCCATCAATGAACTAAAACGCTGAGTTACTGTTATTACTTAGGTAATGGTGGACAATGTATTCATTTCTTCTGGATATGAAGATCAGGGTGTCGAAATATGAGTTGGTTTCTATTGTGTGCAGCGGAGAAATAAGTAAGCAACATGGATGATGTGGTTCTACAATCCGTCTTGTTGGTTGTCCACGAAATGCAGCTGACGGAAGTACATAGGTGAGGAAGAATCAAGCAATCTGTCTTCACTCTATTCTCCTGATGTGACCCATCGGTAGATGACAGGAAGTAGTCTTACAACAGTGAACATCCTTTGAAGGAAACCTTTTGAATATTTCAGCAATATGACACTTTTACAATCCTACATATGAGCTCAAGTTCCAAAAGATAGTTGGCTTCAAGGCTATTATCACCCTCTAGGTTTAGAGTTTGTCTTATTTGTCTATCTGATCTCTACAATTTCATCATCAGTACAAATATCCTATTTCCTTATTATGTCTTTCAATTAGCCCCGTTATCGTATTCGTTAAGTAACATTTAACTCTTCTTGTCGGTGAATCAACTCAACGACACCAACACTGTCTACTTCACTGCCAGTACCACTGCTTTTAGATGAGTATTTCGCCATATATAGAAGAAAACCCATGTATTAGCTCATACCTATTGGTGGAGAGATGTTCCTAGGAAAAGAACTATTTACTTAGTGGATTATTTATCTAAACATCTTGACTCTTAATTGATAGGTCACGGGTTCGAACCCCGTCCTGTTCACTGAATCCTGGAAAAACAGCCAGTACTAGCATTCATACAATAGATGTGGCTCATTGTCTACTGTACAAAATTTCACTTAGTTTTTGAGTGCATTGCCATTTTCCGTTTCAAGTGGATGATGAAAACTCCGAAAAGGATATTTGCACAGACAGTATTACTCGGTGTATTCGTGATTGTATAGGCAGGTGTTGAGGTCAACAACTATTGATTTGATGAAAACAAAATCAGAAGATTCATGGGAATAACGCCACTGAGGGCAAAAATGATCTTTGAATACGAGGATTTGGTTTACAAGAGTGTACGGGAATAGCTTTTGTCCTGTGTAGTAATGTGAGTAAGTAAGCTAAGCAGAAGAGTGAATGGTTTTCAGTAGGCAGTTGCAAAAACCTTGCATTTGCTTCAGCACTGAACTTTTATTATCTTTATCAGACATTTACTTAGCCACGTTGGATTGCATGGCTACCGTATGAATTGGAATCCCGAGGTATGTGAAATCTTTTTGTTCAAATAGCTTGGATATTTGCTAATTCCGTTTCATTTGCACCTTACCTACTTCTTCAGTGTTGAATAAGAAACGTTGTCAGGTCTGTCATACTCTCATTTGAGTAGGTTAATGTATTTCATAATTTGTCCTGTAGAAACCCGAACTTTATATCTTCCTGAGAAGCTTCAATAACCTTCTTTTGCCAGGTGCAGTAAAATAGTAGCTTGATTCAGCTTAGCACTCAGTGATACCTTGCTCTGTATAGGTACTTACTGTTATGCCTGGTTAGCCAGGCTGAATTAGTTGGAGGGGTTTTAAACCTGGGACCTAATGCTTGAAATCTGATATTCTAAGCCAGTCAGCCGTATTTCCAGATGTGACGTGGCTAAACTATAAAACAGTCTTCACTCTGCTTTTAGTGTTTGACCGACTCACCAATCTTAGGGTTTTCTCAATTATTTGCAAAGTTATTTAACTCTAAAACATGCATCACATTCCTTCATTTTCCATTTTAGTCTACCTCCCAAAATCTTATTTTGGTTGGGTCAGTGTAAAAACCATTAGGTCATATAGTGGAGAATATTTGTAGCTCAGGTGGATGGTCTTGGTTGTATTGTGTTCTCTGAGCTGGGTTGTTTAACCGTGAAGTTCCATCGTCTTTCTAGACGATATCATCTGCACTAAATTCAATATGAAGTAGTGAGCTGTCAGTATCTCTCCTTGAGTGATTTAGTAGCTTGCCGTGACGAACTGGCTTGTGATTGGTTGTTCCCTTTGATTGTTGTGTCATTGACTGTATAGACTTTCCTGTTGGCTGTCCCTCTGCTTGACATCTGACCTTTCCCTCGTTTATCATTTCTCCCATTGGTTGACAGATTGGGTCTATGTCTAAACGCCTGTCTATCGATTGCTGACTGACCTGAATGCCAAGCTTTTAGGAAGTCTCTGATGATATTCTTTGTTTCCTGTCTCTATCCAAAATTTCTACATTGTCGAAATTAAATTCATGTCCATAATTATCCACGTGCATTGAAATGAGTGACAAAATGTCGTGGCGTTTAATAGCCAATTGGTGCTCATGTAGACAAAGGCGAAGAGGGCGGCCGCTTTGTCCAATGTAGTGCTGACTACAGTTATTGCAGTTGACTTTGTAAATGATATTCGGTTTGTCTTCTTTGTTTGTTGCATCCTCCTTTGGTCTGCATGATAGTGTTTGGAAGGAATTTGTTGGTTTATGAGCCACACCAGTTCCAAGTGGTCTCAGCAATCTTGTTGTGATCTCTGATATATTCTTTATGTATGGTAGGACGGTGAGTTTGTTGATTTCTGTCGATGACTTTGTAGTTCATGATGGCGGGATAGGCATCTTCTGATAAAGTTTCGTGGGTGGCCGTTCTTCTTTAGGATGGACATCAAGTAATTTCCCTCGTTTCTCCGTGAAGTTGTTGTACTTCAGTGTGTCCTGGCTCTTTTGAATAGAGTCTGCACGCAACTGATTTTGTGTGTTGTTGGCTTGTTGCTATTGTAGTTGAAAATTTGGTCAGTGTGTGGTGGCTTCCTGTATACTTGTGTTTCCAGCTTTCCGGCATTTCTCCTACTGACTGATGCATCCAGGAATGGTTGTTGGTTGTTTGACTCTTTCTCTATTATGAATTTGATGTCACTGAAAACGTTGTTGATCAAATTGTGGGTGTTATCCATATCATCTTTTCTTAATGGTGACAAAAGCGAATCCAGAATTTTGGTTTGATCACAGGCTTCCAGTCTCTGTATCACTGCTTCTGCAATTAGTCCGGGTATCTGTGGTCCCATTGGAGTTCCTTTCATCTGTTTGTATATCTTTCCATTGAATTGGAAGTATGTTGTTAGATAAGGGTCGATGAGTTCCATTAGACTTAAACATTTAAGTTTTGTGCGTTCTGTAAAGCTTGTATCTTCATTGTGCAGTAGGGACATAGTTTCCTTGGCCAATTAATGCTGATGATATCGTCTAGAAAGACGATGAAAGCTTCACGAGTAAACAACCCAGCTCAGAGAACACAATACAACCAAGATTAGGTCATATACCACGGAGTTCAGCAGCATACAAGTGTGTATGTGTGTGTTCTTACCCACTTCCACATACACGGAGGACTAATCGATATATGTAGTTGACGTTGGCGGAACATTCATTCAAATGGTTGCGAAAACAGGCGGATAAACAAAACCATCGATAAACGCTGATGACAGACAGCCACTTTCATGATGAAGTACACGGAATCGATATCTGAAGAGGTTTCACAATTTCATATCGAAAGTGTCATCAATATATACTTAGGTTCGATGGATCGATGGCAATATTTATCCTCAAACCAATCGTTTTATTATTATTATTATTTCTTGATAATTGTAATTTCCCGTTTTTATACTGGATCAAACTGATTGGCCTAAGTTGGCAGATGGACTCTTATGTGAATCCCTCCTTATTGTCTGAGTACTTATTGTTATAACTGAGTCGGTTGGGGCTATTAGTACTATCTAGGACACCTGTTTCGTCCTACTTGGGAATCGTCAGCCAGATGCACCTGTACAGCAATGAGTGACGTTGTTCCCACTGTGACTCTAATTTCGTGCCCATCACTTCAAGCGCCAGAGTGTTATCCACCAGGTCAAGTCATGACAATTATTATTCAGACAATATTTAGACGTCCGCGTAGGAGCCCATATGCCAACAGAAGTCAGTCAGTTAGTTGAAGTACAACAACAGAGAATTTAAGTATCAAAAAATAATGATGACCATTAACCAATAAACAAGAGTCATCCATAGTGTCCCACTGGTCTATTGGATAGCGATGGACACGGGGTTCGAGTCCTAGTGGGGAAAACTTCACTACCTGGGGTCCAGGTAAATCCAGCTGACAAGTCGCAAGTTGGACTCAACATGAGTCCTGGGTCCCACTGCTATCCAGGAATAAGTCAGTGTTCAGAATAAGTTGTCTTTAGGCCAAACTTACCCGGTTAATATATTCATCTTCCCTATTACAGCGGTCTAAACTACAGTCTTAGTGTCTGTCATGTTTGTTTTATTTCACCTCTTTATATTTTCATTTTTCACAGAAAACGCCTGAAGTAGTGTGCTATCAAATCGTCAGAAACTCAGGGCTGAAATACATCAGTCTTTGGATTACAGCGTTCAGAACTTTTGTATTTCATCACTTCACCTCTCTGTACCTTTAGGCTGACTAAGTGATCTTCTGTTTGTTTCTCATCTTCTTCTTCTTTCACATGATCTCCCATATCACCTTCAGTTAATTTTTGTTGAATACGAAAATGATTATACAACCTTGTAAAGATTAGACTGATGGCAAGATAATTCGTTTTAATTTTTATGATAACTTTATTCATTAATTAACTAGTCACAAGTGATAAATTCAAAAATATAAACGATCAATACTTGAAAAATCGATGCATAAGCCTATATAAGAGATTGCATATACACAGACTTAGCTACATTGTGGACGGTCATTAAAATTCAGATTAGTAACTTTCTGTAGAAGATGCTTCAGGGTATTCAGTTTCAAAGTCATTTTTATGATTATCACATTTAAACAAGGAAACTGTATGCAATTCTTTGTCTTAGTAAGCTGCAACAAGACAAAAACTTTAAATTTAGCTATGGTTATTATTTAAACAGAGAAATGAACATTAAAGTCACCATATTTTATGATAATACTTGACATTTCCACATTTAGATTTTTGTTTTCAATTGCTATTCGTTTACAGAATAAAATTCACACACACACACAGAGATAGAGGTGGAGAGAGAAAGGAAGAATGGAAGAGGGAAGGAGACCCCTAATTCTAGAGAATTTGTCAACACGAATATAGACAAGAAGGAAATTAATCAGGATTTATCGTTAAAATGCTTACTGTATGCATCACGGAGATGAAAGTGTGGATAGCTTACACTGAAGAGATATCTAAACTGCATATTGATTTATGAAGGTAGGGTGTTTTAAGAAATAAACATTTTTATTGCTCCTTAATGTATCAGACATTTTTCGCCATGAGGTAATATAAATATGAATTATACTGGGTGATAATTGAAGATGAAATGAAAATTTGGACTACGGTTGAATTTAAACCAGCAACCACCGGGTTTGGCGAGAGATGCTCTACCAACTGTGCTGCGAGGTTCGGCTGCTGACCAGATTTTTATTTCACTTCAGTCATCACTCAGTATTAATAATAATCTGCTAAACTACAGCCATCTCAGATAGCCAAATGATAATCAATATACTGCATCCCGTCTATAATTCAGTTAGATTTCCACTGGAATAAAAAGTTCTGACTAGACAGCCAGTGTGAATTTGATCAAGCAGTAGGAACGCAACACGAAATCACGATCTAGTCAGGAAAAACCCGCATTGGTGATTGAAATGAGATAAAAACCTAGTCAACAGTTGGACCTCGTAGCTCAGTTGGTAGAGTGTCGGGCAGGAAACCAGGTGTTAGCCTGGTTCTAATCTGACTATGGTCCAAATTTTCATTTCACTCAGTATCACTACTAGTCTGCCAAACCACAGATACCTCATACGGTTAAAATGATAGTAAATACGATTGTTTGCTGAAAAGAACCTTTTGGTTGGGGCGGATAGAAAGCGAGCAGTGAATTAAATTAAATTACTTTCAAATCTTTGAACAAGTATACCGCTGCTCGAGATATAATCATTTTGGAATATTGAGGTAAATATACGTCTATATAGACATGGAGAACACTGACCATAATTCTGTCTGTCTGTCTAAAGACTCCTCTTTTTAGTTGAGTATATTCCGTTTTGAAACTGAAACAACTGAAAAAGCAGAAGGAGTGAAACCACATCTACTTGTGGGAATGGAATCTTGGTACAAGATTGATGAAGGAAGGAAGTGGTTGACTCAGTGTCAAGTAAGTAGATCACTGTGGTTTGTTTTAAAATTCGGAAGTGTCTGATGGCTCCAGAGGGTCTCTTGACTACTAGATTCCGGATTATGTCAAAACATTAGGAAGTATATAAATATTTAATCTGTAATAATCATTAATACGGTACGAACTATGAAGATCATTCAGGATTACTGAAACACAAAATTTATGAACTAATTCTAAGCGAATATTTTAGGTCAGGTGTGTAATTAAACCACTGAGAGAAGTGATCTATCACAGCAGGGAACTGTGCTGAATAGTTACTGATAGCCATCAGAAAACGATAGTACTACTTTTCATTTGATTACTCAACTAGATTGCAAATATGTTTCACCGATCAGAAATAACAAGCCAGAAGTACAAGTATGCAGAGATTCAAGGTGATTGTTTTTAATGGTTAAATTAATCGTCAGAAGTAGTTACATGACACTGTTCAAGCTGTTCCTTTGGCATTTATTGACTCCCCTCTGTTATAATGGATCCAGTTGCTCGACCAGTGTTGGCGGACGAACTCCTAGGTAGATGCCACGATACCACCTGAATATTCATGACGTTTCAGGTTACTTGGCGGCCAGCAGTAGAATCAAGAATGGGCAGTTTTTCCTGTGATAGACTCGTTAGCTTGATGTACCTGCACCCTAGTGGGTAATTATGTTCTCACTGGGACTGAAATCCAGCGTCCATAGGTTCACACTCTTCAAACGTACCTCAGTAGGCCAGTAGATCACTCTGCGGCTAAAAAAAATGAGTGCCGGGTTCGAGTCCCAGCGGGGATATCAGTACTCACTAGAGTGCAAGTGCATTCGGCTGACGAGTCCTAGATAGGACGAAACAAGCATTCTGGATTCTACCACTAGTATTCCACTGGCGTTAAGCTGGTTTCTCTTACTTATGTAATGCTAACCAAGGCCGTACGCTGGAAATTATGCAGTTGTGTAACAGCTTAAGGAACGTTGTCGTTTGAAGTAATGAAAACTAGTGGTGTCCACCGAGAATTTCTGGTGTCACCGTCTCTCTTTGACTTTATAGTAGACGTGAATATGGATATAAGCCTGGATACCCTGAAAAATTCTGAGTATGTTTCACATGCGCTTCTTATCTTCCAGATGGAAAAGGATACTTCGAGTCTGGTCTACACTGCTCCCTTATTTAGAAGTGGAGGAATGAAGTGGTGCATCAACCTGAATGGGTTGATGACCGACAAAATCTCAGCTGGGAAGCATAGGGCCCACTCGGCAGTTGAAAATTTACGCCAACCATGCCACCGGCTAGATCTTCGACTATTTATTGGAGCACAAGGATACTAGTTATGCACTGGTTCATTCTCTCCTACTGTATACCTATGCGAAATAACTTCTCAAAGTAGAGGATACAAAGAGATTGCAGGTCTTTGACCACATATGTCTTTGTTACACTACTCACATGTAGTGAAATCACCGTGTGGCAGACGCTAAGGTCACGTGTAGGGTGGTAGGAGAGGATGGTATTACGATGACCATTTACGGTATCAGCATACTTCAAAAAACTTTAAGTCCGTGCAACCCCATCCCATCAACATACTCCAGAGGTTTGGGAAGAGACATTTGATCATACACCTGAAAGTATCACAGTGAGTGAGCAGAAAAAGCAGATGGAGATTGTCAACTAGGAGGGCCGCGAAATATCCAAGTCTATTGTAAAAGACATACCGTTGCATTTTATAGATATTTTAAAACTGTAGCTATGAAAAGTAGAGGTTTAAAAAGGTATGTCGGAACGCCCCATTGCTAGGGGATTAAGTCTATGAGGTACTTAGCCTACATCTATTGTGGTGGCTTAGGTACGTGGTGAGTACTCCAACCAACTCAACGCGTGATGTTTGTCACAGTAGGATTAGGTTGGCAATGGGTTAATGGTGGCCAGATGAGGATGTGGTGCCAGCCTGTGAGGTCCTTGACTCTTGGTCTGAGCCATAAAGGTGTGTGTAGATGGCTCTTTTGGAGTCCTCAAGATAGCAGGAACCAGTGGTTGGAGAAATAGCTTAATATCCGTCACAACAGCACAGAAGTATTCACTATCTGACATCTTCAAAAGTTTGTACATTCTCAATAACCTCAACTTATTCTTCTCTCTTTTTGGAGACTTTCATCTCCTTCGATACCACTGTCCTGCCATCCATTTGCTTTCTTAAGCTGCTGTGAAGTGTGGTAACTTGAAGTGATGCACTCATTTTCAAGCTTCCGTGTTCATTTGTCTGATTTTTAACTTGTGATCATTGGAACGCTCAATTCTTCATGGGGAGAGTTTCTGACATCCAAAGAATATTCAGGGTTCTTAGTGCAGGACGAAAACAGAGGATTCAATGGCAATGGTCATCTCAAAATGGTTGGTGAACGACTTCTGGAGAATATCCACAGGATTCTCTTTTCAAATAATTAAAAATTTGCATTACGATTCAAAAGCCATTTGAGTGAACATAGAATATGCTTATCAATAAATTATTCTTCCGCCCCTACAGTTGTATGTACATACTGAGGAAATATGCGTCAGCACTTTGAAGTGAAGACAGGAGTAAGATAAGCTTGCCTACTATCATCGATGATCTTCCTGTTTGTGGTCGACTGAACTGGATCATGCAACAAACTGTGAGGAGCGAGAAGATGGGAATACGCTGTTTGACCAATGAAAAGACTCTGGAAGATTTAAATTTCACCGATGATGATTTATGTCTAATGTCGCACAAGCTCGAAGATCTACAAGCAAAAACTGACAAGTTGGCAGAAGAGGCAGAGGAGTGAGGATGGGACTTCAGGTGAACATGGAGAAGATAGAGGTGTTGAAGATACCCTACCAACAACAACAAGCATTAATCACCATCAGCAGAAGAAATCTGAAAGCAGCTTCCTCTCAACTACAGGTGCCGGCACAGGTGAAGACGTCAAAGCCAGAAATGGAAAAGAAAAACAGGTCTTCATTAATTTGAAATCAGTGTGAAGAGGTATTGCACTCAACTCAGCATAAAGAGCAAGATCCAGATTTTCAACACTAGTGTCAAGTCAGTGCATCTATTTGATGGTGGAGAGACTTGGTGGCACGTTACGAAAAGCACTTCGGAAAAACTGCTGATAAGCATCATCAAGAGATCCATATTAAATTTGTTTATTTGATTTATAACATTCAGTGATATAGTATTATTTACTTGATGACATTTCGAGCATAAATTATCATTGCTCATAATCATATCAATGTTATCACAGTACATTCGACATTTGATTTTTGTAGTTACGTCACCTGACATGATTTGTTTTTATTGGTAGTAAAATCTTCCATATCTCTGGTATAGATGTTGTATCATATGTTGGTTGAGGGTTGATTCGATGAACAAAGATTCAGTAATCAATCTCTCTCTCCACCTAATTATATTGGACTTAAGTACAGTGGCTTTATCCCACCCTATTGTGTG